TCCCTGAACAGAACAGTTTGGGGTGCGTGGGGAAATCTCGGGGTGTGTGTGATGCCCCCGTGCCCTGGGCTCAGCCCCGCTGTGGGGCACACACTGCTGGGGGTCTGTGGGCTGGGGGCCCCTTGCCATCTCCCTGTACCTGCAGGATGTCACCGGCCCCATTGTGCCATCGGGGTCTGGCTGGTGGACTTTGGGGTCCGATCCGTGAATTCCAGGGTGAGATCCATGGGCTTTGAGTTCTGACCGATGGACTTTTTGGGGTCTGGCCCATGGTTCAGTATTGGGGTCACGCAGTTTGGTTGATCAGTGCTCCCAAGTGCTCCTTGGGCTTGGCCCCTTTGCAGGGGATGTGGGCTGGGGGGCTTCAGGCTGGGGTCCTCCCCCCCCACTCCATGTACCTGCAGGATGTCACCGGCCCGCTGTTCCCTTGGCAACAGCAATGGCATCCCAACACCTCGCACACATCCCTCACCGTTGCCTGGGTAACCTGGCGTCTGTGGGGTGGGCAGGTATGGGGGTCCTGGTGCCCCCAGAGCGGGTTGTGGGGTGGGGGGCTGAGCAGCAGGGCCGGGCAGGGCTCTGTGCACCCATCAGAGCTGTGCTTTGCTCCCATTGCCACATGGGTTGATCTGGCAGCTGGAGCAGCCGTGCCTGGGCAGCGGGGCGGGGGGAAAGGGCGCTGTGGTGTGTGTGTGTGCATGGGTGTGCATGCGAGAGTGTGCATGTGTGTGCACGGGTGTGCATGAGTGGATGTGTGCAGGGTGTGTGTGCGTGTGCATGGGGGTGTGCATGCAAGGGTGTGGGTGTGTGCACATGCAGAGCTGTGTGCCTGTGTGTGTGCATGGGTGTGCAAGGGTGTGGGGCTGCCTGTATGGCTGTGTGCATGGCTGTGTGCATGGCTGGGGTGGGCATGCGTGCAGGGGTTTGTGCATGTGGCTGTGCACGGGTGCATGCATGGATGTGCATGGGTGTGCACTTGAGTGCATGCATGGGTGTGTGGGTGTGCACACGTGTGTGCATGGCTTCCAGTCAGAGCCCGCTGTCGCTGCTGCTATCCTATGGGTAACCTATGGGGCAGCAACACACCCAGTGCAGCAGTGCTGCTGTGGGTCCCTGCAGTGACATCCTGGTGCCCACTCACGTTGTGCCTCGTGGGTGCCTGTCCTGGGCGCTGATGGGCCAGTGGCTGGGCGCTACTCCTGTCCCATGGAGACCTTGTGGATCTCTGTGTATTTTTTGTAGGGTTTTTGTCAGTGTTTTGGGGGGATGTCAGTGCCACAGTGTGTGGGCACAGGGGGTGGAAGTGGGAGGGATGTGGGCTGGGGAGAAGGGGGGACACTGGGGAGCAGGGAGGACATCGGGATTGGGGCAGGGAGGGACTTTGGGTTGCAGCAGAAAGATTTTGGGGAGCAGGGGGACATTGGGGTTGGAGGAAGGAAGGTCATTGGGATTGGGGCAAGGGGACATGGGGAGCAGGGAAGGACACTGGGTTTGGAGCAGGGGAACATTGGGGTTGGGGCGGGGAGGGACATCAGGTTGCAGCAGGGAAGGATGCTGGGGTTGGAGCAGGGAAACATCGGGGTTGGGGCAAGGGAGAGACATTGGCATTGGAGCCGGGGGACACTGGGGAGCAGGGAGGGACATTGGGGTTGGGATAGAGGGGCATTGGGGTTGAAGCAGAGGAACACGGGTTGGGGCAAGGGAATATTGGGATTGGGGCAGGGGGACACTCTAGTTGGAGCAGGAGGACGCTGGGGATCGGGGAGGACATGAGGGTTGGAGCAGGGGAATGCTCAGATTGGAGCAGGCGGACATTGGGATTGGGGCAGGAGAATATTGGGGAGCAGGGGGACATCGGGGTTGGGGCAGGGGGACATCAGGGTTGGAGTAAGGAAGGTCTGTGAATTGGAGCAGGAGGACATTGGGTTTGGAGCAGGGGAACATCGGAATTGAGGCAGGGAGGGACATCGGGTTGCAGCAGGGAAGGACATTGGGGTTGGAGAAGGGGGATATTAGGGAGCAGGGGGACATTGGGGTTGGGGTAGGGGGGGCATTGGGGTTGGAGCAAAGAGGGACATTGGGGTTGGAGCAAGGAAGGTCTGGGGGGGGGGGGGGGGAACAGATTGGAGCAGGGGATGCTGGCATTGCAGCAGGCAATGCATTGCACTGGAGTAGAGTTTGGGGTCTCTGCTTTGGGGCAGGAGGGCAGTGCATGGCTGGGACACCCAGCTGGGGTTGTGTGGGGTTTGCAGGGCTGAGCAGTGGGAGGTGAGCGGGGAGCGGCTGCGGCGGTTGGGCTGCGGGAGGAACGCGGTGTGGAGAAAATTGAACCCAGGGGAAAAAACACTGTAATTTCATGCAAAAATTACACGGCAGCTCGGTGTGATTTACTGCAGCTATTTCGGTGGGCAGCTCTGGGGTGTAATTAGAGCATTACGGATAAGTGGCTGATGGGGGGGAGGGGGGAGTCTTCCCGAGGTGTCCCAGAGGGGTCCGGGCCAAGGGGACACCCCAAGGTAGGGCACGAGCAGGGGTGGGGTGACGTATCTGGGGGTCCCATCGCTATGGGTGCTCTGGGGGACACGGCGGGGCTGCGGGGACGGGGACACGGTGGGACCCCGAGGCGGATGCTGTCCTTTTCAGAGGGGCCCCGGAGTGATGGCAGCTGCTAAAAATCAACCCGCTGCCATGGCAACGGCATCACTCCCATTGCAGAGCTTGGGTAGCAACCAGCTGTGTGGCAGCAGAGAGACCAGCGCCGGGAGAGGGCTGCTCGACCGCCTCCTCTCCGGTGGCACCTCCTGGGGATGGAGGGCAGCCGCACCCCGCGCCAGCTCCGTCCCTTTGGGTCTGGCTGTGCTGAGGCTCCGTCCCCGGCCGACCTTTTCCCCACCCCATCGGGTGATGAGAGACGGCGGCGGCGTGAGACGGGGCAGGAGCTGCGGTGACGGCTTTCAGGCCACCGCTGCGCTCCTTGCGTGTCACCACCTGCAGTGGGGCTGCGCGGACGCGGCCCGTCACGCCGCTAATGGGCATTTGGTTCAATTAGCGGCGCGTCAGCCCCGCTCCGCTCAGCCGGAGCGCTGACCCGAATACGCTCGCCTCCATCGAGACCCCCGTGGGGCTGCCCGGGGGGAGAGAGGGAGGAGGGGGGGACACGGCCGCGGTGCCCTTCCCGGGAGCATCCCTGCCAACCCCGCCCTGGGAGGGCACAGTGGTACTGCTCCTCCGTGTCCCCATGGGGCGCTTATGGGGATTGCAGGGTGTGATAGGATGCTATAGGTGGGGCGCGGGCGGAGCGGTGCTGTGGGTTTGTGCGCAGTGCTATGGGGCGCAGCGCAGATGTGGCCATGGGGCACTGCAGGGTTTGAGGCTGGGTATGAGGCGATGCGGCGTGGCCAGAGGGCTGCTGGTAAGCGGTGCTACGAGGCGGTGTCACCCCCCCCCCTCAGGGGCCCCGGGGCCGGCCCGGGGGCCCCCCCCCCCCCCACCAGGCGCGGTGTCCCCGCGGATGCTCCTAGCGATAGCGGCAATTTTTGTGTAAGAGGAGTAAATCAGCACCAATTAACCCCGGAACCGCACTCGTGCGGCCGAGCACTCATCAGCAGCCTTGTTGGGGTCCCGCGGAGGGGGGAGGGGGTGGCCGGGCCGGGGGTTCCTCCGGGCCCCCATGTGCCCCCCACGGCCCCACCGCCACCCCCCGACGGACGGCCCTCCCGGCGCTGCCAGATGCGGATCGCCCGGCAGTCGCTCCGCCAAACAATGGGGTCCGGCTAATCCTCTCACAATGGGACTAATTGCTAATCAGACCGATTTCACACCGCCCGCTCCCCTGACAATGCGGCTCGGCGGAGGGAGCGGCGGGGAGAAGGGACTCCGTGGGGGCTTTGGGGGTGGAGGGTTCTGCGCTCCGCTGTGGGGGAGCAGGGCGAGGGGTGGGTGCTGAAATTTGTGTGTCAGACGGCAGGCAGAGAAGGGGGATGGGGGCACCCGACACCTGGGTGTCCTCAACCTTGAGTGTCCCCAGCCCCCGTTGTCCCGAGCTCTGGGTGCCCCCAGCCCCTGGGTGTGTCACATCGCTATGGTCCGTAACAGAGCGCCCCCATGCCCTGGGTGTTCCCAGCCTCAGAGTGTCTCCAAGCCCTGGGTGGGTCACATCCCAACAGTCCTTTTCAAGGTGTCCCCAACCCCCCGGGTGCCCCTGACCCCTGGGTATCCCCACCCTCAGGGTGTCCCCAACCCCTGGGTGTCCCCCAAGCCCCCACGTGTCCCTGTGTGTGGGGACAAAGTGGCATCACGCTGCTGCTGGCTCTGCAATCATGACGATGCTGTGTGCTCCTCTCCAGTCCCCTGCAGTTCGCACTGCAGCACGGTGGCACAGTGCAAGGCTTGGGCTGTCAGGTGTCCCCAAGGAGGACTTCGGGGACAGGGAAACCTCTCGATGCTGGAGGCGGCATTGTGTCCCATCTCATCCCTTCTGCCCGCCCCCTCCCCAGCTGTACCCAGGGCCGTGCAGGAAGGGGTTAATGGCCAGCCCATACCTGCAGTTGCATTTTAAAGACGTGAAATTAAAGCCCGTAATTTATTCTCCCCACACACGAAGGAGCAATTAGTTCTAAACACGGCTTAATCAGTCAGCGCGAGATTGATTTCTGTAGACTTGGATTTGGTGGCTGCTGGCGAGGAGCCAGCCTGGGAGCAATCTCCAAATAAATGAAGTGCAGAGAAGTAAGCCATTACATAATATGATAGATGAGGCTGGAGCTCACTCGCCTCTTCATTAGTATTCCGCTGTACGCCGGCGATGGCACCAAACTTTCTCCCCAGCACCTTGGTTCCTTCCCCTTCCGCATCCCTCCGCACCCCTCCTGGGGAAGCAGGGAGCTGCAGCGGCATCCCACGAGCTGCAAGGCCTGAGACGTTCTCCTCCCTCGCTTGGCTTCCTCCCCTCTGCAGGCGCAGTCCCCCCCTGACGTCCCCTCTGCTTGTTCTCCCCGCAGAACTCCATCCGGCACAACCTCTCCTTGCACACCCGCTTCATCCGCGTGCAGAACGAGGGCACAGGGAAGAGCTCCTGGTGGATGCTGAACCCCGAGGGTGGCAAGACGGGCAAGACGCCGCGCCGGCGGGCAGTCTCCATGGACAACAACAGCAAGTTCCTGCGCATCAAAGGCAAGGCCAGCAAGAAGAAGCAGCTGCAGGTGACGCCGGAGCGTGGGGACGACAGCCCGAGCTCGCAGCAGGCCAAGTGGTCAGAGAGCCCCGCGTCCCACGCCAGCGATGAGTACGACGCTTGGGCCGACTTCAGGACCAGAGCCGGCTCCTCGGCCAGCACGCTGAGTGGGCGCCTCTCGCCCATCATGGCCAACCGTGAGCCCGACGAGCTGGAGGAGGACGATGGCACGCCGTCCTCCCCGCTGATGTACCCCAGCCCCTCCAGCACCGTGTCCCCCTCGCTGAGCGCCCGCTGCTCCGTCGAGCTGCCTCGACTCACCGACCTGACCGGTACCATCAGCCTGGGGGAGAGCCTGGGGGAGAGCCTGCTGGAGGACCTGCAGGACGGCTACAACATGAGCCCCTCGCAGCCGCTGCCCCTGCGCCAACGCAGCTCCAGCTTTTCCTTCAACTCCAAGTGCTCCAGCATGGGGCCGGCCGCCAACACGTACTGCGGGACCATCTACAGCCAGCCGGCGCTGGGGCTGATGCGGCGCCTGCCCATGCAGACCATCCAGGAGAACAAGCAGGCCACCTTCTCGCCCGCCGCCTCCTACCGCAATGCCTCCTCGCTGCAGGATCTGCTCTCCTCCATCTCCTACGCGCACAAAGAGAGCATGGTGCCGGGGGATCTGCCCCCTCCACCGCCCGGCCCTGCGGTGCCGTCCCGCGGCCACAGACAGAGCCCACTGCTGTGCGGGGAGCAGGGCATGGCCTACCCAGCCCACCCGGCCCCTCTGCTGAAGGGCAGTGCTCTGTACCACCCACCGCCCGCCGGCCACCACCCCGCTCTCAATGCCAGTGCCTTAGCCAACCCCGTCAGCCTTATGAGCCTGCCCGGTGACGCGTGCGGCGCAACGGCCATGCCGCACCACGGGCACCTGCACCCTTACGCCGCCAACCAAGGGGCGCACATGAGCCTGCTGGATTCGCCCTACGCGGGGGCTGTCCACCCCCCGGTGTTGGGTCAGGACAGGTTTCCAGCAGACCTGGACCTGGACATGTTCAATGGGAGCCTGGAGTGCGACGTGGAGTCCATCATCCTGAATGACTTCATGGACAGCGATGAGATGGACTTCAACTTTGACTCAGCACTCCCGCCGCAGAACGCGCTCAATGTGCCCACGCTGCCCGGTGGCCCGCAGCCCACGAACCAGAGCTGGGTGCCCGGGTGACCCCCGCCTGGCGCCCGCCTCCGGGATGTCACCAGGGGAACGCTGAGACAAACTTCTTTTTTTTTCCTTTCTCTTCTGCCTTTATTTGTTAAGATGGGCTAGAGCCATCGGGTCAAACTTGTGATGAAACACAAACCTTAGGGTCCTGGATGGAGATGGGGTGGGCGTCGGGGGCAGGCAGGAAGGGCAGCAGAAAGGGAACCCCTCCCCAGAGGGTCTGAGCACTAGTTTCAGCTTGGCCTGTCCTTGTGCCGGTGGCCCTTGGGCCGGGTGGAGGAGCAGGGACAGCTGGTGATGTGGAGACTTGCTCTGTGCGTACTGCTTTCTGGAATGGGGAACACTTTGCTTGGAGACACCTTAGAAAGTGAGTCCTCCAAGCAGCAGTGCCAGTAGAAGGGAGCCTGCCCCAGGCTGGGGGCTTCATCACCTCCAAAACCCTTATGGGACCTGAGCTCTGCGCATGCGCCCAGGTCCTTCTGCTCGGTGCAGGGGCCAAGTGAGAAGGGCTGGTGATGGAGGAAAGGGTGCAACAGCACGTGTGCACTGTGTGTGCCAGCGGTCGTGCTGCAGTGCTGTGATCGTGCTGCAGTGCCCTGGTCACACTGCAGTGCCGTGCGCACGTTGCTGTGGTCACACTGCAGTGCTGTGGTCACATTGAAGGCCACGCTGCAGTGTCACAGCCACGCTGCAGTGCCATGATCACAGTCTGTGTCATGTTTCTGTTGCAGTGCCATGGTCACTCTGCAGTGCCATGGGCAGTCTGGCTGGCAGCTCTGTGTGCGGTGCTGGCGCTGCCTGCCTGGTGTGGGCTGTGCCGTGGTGTCAGTGCTGGAGCTGGGTGCCCTGTGCATGAGCCGGGGGCAGTCCCAGGGTTGGGGAGGGGGGGTGTATTTATTTGATTTCATGCACTCTTTTGCCATTGAGTTCTTGCGTTGGAACGAAGGGTCGAGCTTGGGGAGGGGAGGAGGAGGCCACAGCAGTGCTTGTGCAGCACAGAGCTGTGTCCACCACCTGTCCCAGTCGGGCTGGGTGCTGGGACTGACAGCAGGAGCTGGGGGCTGCAGTGGGGGTTGCTCTGGGCATCCATGGGATGCAGCAGGGCTCCTTCTGCTGAGCCTGCACGTTGTCTCAGCTCAGCTCTTCCCTGCTGGCTCCAGCATCGCCTCCGCACCGTGCTGCTGGTTCTGCTTGGTGGTCCCACTGGGGCCTGTGGGTGGGCACCCTCTGTGCCTCCCCCAGCTCTGGGTTTGGCAGAGCAGTGCCACCATTCACCTCTGGCCCGGGCACGTGGCGGGCGTAGTCTCTAAAGACATTCTTACAGGTTAATTAATTATGTTTACATTATTTGATCATGTACAGAATTTAATATATTCTATTATATATAATCTTTCTCGAATGCTTTTTTAAAAAAAAGGATTATTCTTTGGGTCAGGATCATCCGTTTTTGTACCACCACCTCTTGTTTCAGGCGTGTTTCAGTCATTGGAAACTGATTGC